TATAATAACAAACACAAAAAAAGAAGGGGAGGAGAAATAAGGACGATAGAAATAAATGTTTGATAGAGGAAAGAAGACGCAAACCACACCAAAGCACCCGCCAACCACTCACAGGCTTCTGGTTTGAAAAATGACGGGCGATAATTATTAATAAATTGTTACGATCAGAATGGGTGTGAGTGTGTATTTTGTGTGTGAGTGTGTATGTCAGTTGCTGTACCACAAACGGCTCATAGGTACTATACCATGATGTCATCAAGCAATACAACCTACACCATTCTTCAAAAGTCTTATTTATATTCTGTTTTTAAATTCAAGGCTAGCATGAAATAAAAAGCAGTTTTGGAATCCAGGTCATCAAAAACATTATATATCTATATGACTACCTGTAACTCTAAGTGAGAGAGTCTATTCATAGTAAAATGAAAGAAGGAAAGAGAAACATGATCACTTTCATAGTTCATCCTCTTTTTACATTGTAGCAGCAACTAAATTCAAAGTGAAAGCAGTGGAAATGAGGCCTTCCATTTCTGGATATAATGACAAACAACAAAAACATATTATAAAATTTTAAAAATTGCATTGATTATATAGGCCTTCTAAAGCTCATTCTTTAACTAGAGAGCCTATCCACCGAGAAATAATAAAACGAAGTGACTATATTTACGAGCGTTCGGGAAAATAAACTTGAACTCTATTCTCCGAATGGTTTCCGTTCTCGAGATTTTTTGGTTATTGGGAGATTTAGACGTCATCTTTCATAAAGTCTGCCATTCTGCAAGGACCCGGAAGAAGCATTTTTTTGCATCTAATTCAATTTCTAGAGCTAGAGATTTTTAAATGTCTGAATATTCAGATACTTCAGTTCTGGGCAACGTTCCCAGACTATACTTCATTTCAAAACGCCTTCAAAAGGTACTGGGAGAAAACAAGACTGATCACCTTGGCAGTAACCTATTTGCATTTAGTCACCCAGCAAAAACTAAAATCCTTTATGTAAATTTTAAAAAATTCTTTCCACGTCTGAATATTCAGACATTTAAAAATCTCTAGCTCTAGAAATCGAATTCGATGCAAAAAATGCTTCTTCCCAGTCCTCGCAGGCTGAGAATGGCAGAGAATGAAAGATGACGTCTAAATCTCGCAAATAACCAAAAAATCTTGAGAACGGAAACCATTTGGAGAGATAGGGTTCAAGTTTATTATCCCGAACGTTTGGAGAAATAGTCACTTCGTAATAAAAAACTAAATCAAACTGACACAATACCTCTGAAATTCCGTCCTCCACTTCTGTCCCTTCCTCCCTGACGATTTCTATGCATACTGAAGTCTGGAAAAGAGAATAAAAACAATAGCACTCACAAACTGAAACAGAAGCCTGAAAAGAAAAGTCACAAGTAGATCAGTCAGTCTCAGTCATGTTCTTTTCTGATATAGGAGTGTCTACGTACACGGTAAACGGGCATCTACGAACACGGGAACACGGTAACCAGGCACATAGCTTCAGTGTCTACATACACGGTAACCGGGCACGTGGTAACCGGGCACGTACGGTAGCCTCAGTGTCTACGTACGCGGTAACCGGCAACCGGGCGTGCAGTCTCAATGTCACATACACGGTAACCGGGCGCGTAGCCTCAATATCTACGTACGTGGTAACCCGGCACCAGGGCGCCTCTCATTATCAACAAACACGGTAAGCGGGTATTTAGTTTTGTGGGGGAAGGGGGGGGGGGGCTTGAGCTAGGTGCACGGTAACTGCTTTGCTCCTTTCATGACGTTGACATTAATTTTTCCTTTTTCACCGTGTAGTTTCAATGTTGCATACACGGTAACCGTGCGCGTAGCCTCAATATCTTCGTACACGGTAACCGTGTACTTAGTTTCGGGGGGTGGGGGGTGAGGAAGGGGGCTTGAGCTAGGTGCACGCACGGTAACTGCTTCGCTCCCTTCTTGATGTTGACTTTTTTCCCATTTCACCATGTAGTCTCAATGTCACACACACGGTAACCGGATGCGTAACCTCAATATCTATGTACACGGTAACCGGCAACTGGTCGCCTCTCATTATCTACGAACACGGTAACCGGGAATTTTGTTTCGTGGGGGGGCGCTTGAGCTAGGTGCACGGTAACTGCTTCGCTCCGGTCATGACCTTGACCTTTTTCACTCCACTTTTTGTGTGTTGTGAGCGGAATGTAATCCCAAAATTGATCCCAATCTACCCCCTGTCCTAAGTGAGAGCAAAATGCAGTGACACTGAAAATCTGCGAATCTGGAACAGAAAGCTAAAATATAGATGTTTACAAAACATGTAATACTATCACGAGAGAGAGAGAGCGAGCCTCAGAAAACAGAGAGAGGGAGAGGGAGAGAGAGAGAGGAAGGAAGAGAGAGGAAGGAAGAGAGAGAGAGGAGAGATTCTATTATACTAAAATTTGCTTCCCAGTTCAGTTTTTGTCATCCGATGTTGCCTTCAACCCCACCCCTCCCCCCGACTGTACCTTTTAAAAAAATCAATAATCCCCCCCATTCCGGAGCCCTATACTTCGCGCAGCGCACACTTTGATTAAACTTTGGTGACCCCAACGATCACTGGTACTCACAATGTGATGCGAAGGTACAGGTTCACTGACCGGTCACGATGTCGAGCCCGACAAGACGCTTGTATAACTTTCTTTTTTTTCCGCAAGTGAAAGCGCTGGACAATTATTTATTTTCCTGGCGACACAGCGTTTGCAATGCACAACCTG